GTATTGTGTGTTTGAGTGGTCCAGACGCTACACAACATTGGATGCACGTGACATATTCTGCTGTCATATACAGTGCAGATACACCATTTTACAGAATTAAACATAAAAGGACATTGTTTCCTTAATTTTAATGCAGCTTGTACACACTTTAGAAGTTTTTCACTTCCTTTCTTTAACACTTCCCAAGTGGAAACAGCATTAAGCAATTATATTCTTCCTCCTTTCATTATCTCCTGATTTATTTGAGTTGATTTATGAAGAATTTTTCATTCTGTGCAAATTATTGACATTGTTATGCTAGTAGTTAACAACTTTATTGGCAAGTTATGAGGAACTTTACTGGTAAAATAAGTATAAGGGCAACCTTGAAGTACTGACATAATTTAGATAAAGGCAACAAAGCAAGTTAAATACAAAACTAAACGAAAACCTATATTGAACTGTTAATAAAAGCATAATATTTTTAGCCACATGACTGCAAATGATGGATTCAAATGACTCGGATCATTTACATTTTTTTTTTACTTTTCTCCATTTTGCTTTCAGTTGGATTATTAAAGGATTATTAAGATGCATATAAACTAATGTCAGCCAGGCACTTACCCACATTCCTCTGCTGTGAATGACATTGGATGCTGGTTGAAAATGAGGTTTAGTCAAATACATTCAAATGTGATTCAGTGACATACAGTTGAGTCATATTCAAAACACGAAAACATGAATGATAAAACAGCATTTCACTGTCTTCACATTTTCTCACTGTATTTAGTCATTTCAGTTGTCTTTTTTGGCTCACTCAGCTGGGACTATCCTGGAGACATGTCTAATTTTCTTTAATACACAAACACGCATACTCAAAGACCTGTCCATATTCTGCTGCGACAGTTGTACTCAAACCTTATTTTAAAAAATGTCCATTATTGTTCATATAAAGTAGTTGGATTGACACTGTACTGTGCTGTGAGTTCTTTAGCCTGTTGTATAGAAGCAGCTGTACAGAAGCTGATGCTGGTGGGTGGATACGTTATTACAGTGGGCTCCTGCTGATAACGCATTTCCGTCACCCAAGCTGAAATCAAAAGGGACTGATTTCAGTGCCAGTTTTCGGCTGCAATGCTGGCAGCTTCATTGGGATTCTCATTGGATCCAATCACACTACAGAATGCAAAACCGCAGCCTCCCGGACAAAATATATCACTGTCAGTCCTAGCTGTGCCACGACAAGTCCTTGAATTGCTAGGTTTTTCTCCATCTTCTCCACATCCTTTTCACTCTTTCATGTTTCACGAGAACACAAGGCATTATGCCCAGATGCAAATTTAGTTTATATTTTTATGACAGTCAACTGTCTGCATTAACATACAATCTATGATTACATTGAAAATCTGGAATTTAAAATATTGGGGGAAAAGAAAGATTCTGATGTAAAATAAAGAATAATGTAGGATTCTGCACTACTAACTCATTAATAAAATAAGCAAATTTGTGACATTGAATGTGAAATCCTTTGAACAAAAGGTCAAGGTGCTCTTGGGAAGCAAAAGGGTAGCATACAAACTACTGAAAGTTGTGTAAATTTTGTTTTGCTGATATGGATCGAGTTGGAATGGATTTTGCCTTGTAAATGACAAAAATGTGACTTTTTTATTTGTAGAAATCTGTCTCTTAGGATGTCATTTCTGCATTCAAAACAATAATTCAGTGGATCTGTTGCCACTACTTAATTTAATGCATTAGTGCAAGTTAAAAATTCAAATTTATTGATTTAATTAAATATTTTAAGTTTTAACAAATTTTTAATGAGTTGTCCTGACATCTAAATGTTGATAATTACATCAACGTAATACTGTGTGTAACTTCAACTTAAATATCTGTGTTAGTTTGAGTTAGTACAACTTAAATAATGTTTTTAACAATGTAATTAGCTCCATAACTTCATTTTTTCAAGTTCACGTTTTAGGTTCCCAGCATGCTTTGCATGTGACTGAATAATGAGCGGTAATGTAGAAATAAACTCATATTTTAAGCATTGCTATTTAAGATCAGAACAGGAGATTTATTAATGTTCACTGTTCGGTTCTTTTAGTATTTAAATGTGTTTCTGTTATGTTGGTGGTTTTTATGAGATTGCCATTGTGCTGAAGAGTAGAGCGTTTGCTTAGGTTGAGAACAGACTCACTGGACATTGTCTTACATGCTGTTTCAATCAGAAGGCATTTAGTTGAAACTGCTAAAAGATTGGTTTCCTGGCAGCATTAAGTGTAGTTCCATCAATAAATAATATTTTAGTAGTGTTTGTAATCAGTGTCCATGATTGAATCAAATTTAAAACAATGTGAAAAAACAATGTATAATTATTAAAATGAATAAAAATTTTGTTGTTCTAAGTATATATAGCACAATATAGTTTACTAGTTGAACTTAATTTCAGAAGTTGACTTGACAAAAAAAAAATGATGTAAACTGTTGCGTAAATTTTTTTTGTTGCGTCCAAACAATCTTTTTTAGAGTGTGTTTGATTCAAATCCAGAATAAAAATGACTCAGTGCAGTAGGTTGCACTGTGACAAACAGCAGTAAAGGGGTGCTGAGACTACCTGCAATATAGAGCTAAGAGAGATAGTTATATGAAAATTTATGGCAGATTGTGGACGTACTTTTTACAAGGCTCCGTACAGTATCCAACAAAATCATAGACAAAAGCATACAATTTAATTAGTTTACTCAAAACTTAAAGTCATTTACTCACATTCATATTGTTCTAAACCTGACTTTCTTGTTTATTGTAAGAAAATGATATCGAGCATTTTGTCATGCTGATCTTTTCCTTAGAATGTACAATAAGTGAATAGTTACCCCAGCCATTTCTGCTTTTATCCACTACTCTGCTAAATATCCTATTTTGTTCCACACAAGGAAGAAAGCCTTACAAGTTTGGAACAGCATCAGAGTGAGCAAACGATTATAAAATTTTGATTTTTTTAGTGAAATATCCCTTCAAGTTAATACAAGAATTAAAAAAAAGGAAAAATACAGTGGTTGTCTTGAGAAGGGGTGGTAAATATTCCTGTGCATAGGGGGTGTCGACCTTTTCAAAGCTACTAGGTCATCTGTTCCATATTTCAGCTGCCATATTTGATTAGCTCGTTCCAAGAAACCGCTTGTTTGAACATGCTGGAAAAGGAACAAGCTTTTGTTCTTGACAAGACAAAATCGTTCTTAGAGGCGACAGAGGCCATATTGGTGTTTAACAACTGCCAGTTTAAAAGTGAGAAAAGACAAAAAGAGTACAATTTTGAGACAAAACCTTGAACAATGAAGCTTTGTTCTGTAATTTTTTATTCTAAATTATATTCATTGTCTGGGTATAAAGTCTTTGAGACCATGGAATTTTTTTGTGTGCAGTTCTCAATGCTTTTGAATTATTTGCTAAAATGCTGAGGGATTAGTTAATGGAATATCAGAGACTCCAGGGGACTGTAAGGGCATACAAAAAGATATATAAAAAAATAAATAGAAAAGTTTTTTTTTTAACCAAACTTACAATTAATAATTCTTTTAATAATTAATTCAATATTCCTTACTATTAAAAGGTTTGAAAATCCCTGGTCTATAGCATGTCTTTTGACAACACACAATAAGTTTTCAGTTACACAAAGAAAGAAAAAGGGAAAAGGAAATGAAAAATTTACAAAAATGCCTTTCATATGCTTTCATGGCACTTGAAATATACAGGTGCATCTCAATAAATTAGAATGTCGTGGAAAAGTTCATTTATTTCAGTAATTCAACTCAAATTGTGAAACTCGTGTATTAAATAAATTCAATGCACACAGACTGAAGTAGTTTAAGTCTTTGGTTCCTTTCATTGTGATGATTTTGGCTCACATTTAACAAAAACCCACCAATTCACTATCGCAACAAATTAGAATATGGTGACATGCCAATCAGCTAATCAACTCAAAACACCTGCAAATGTTTCCTGAGCCTTCAAAATGGTCTCTTAGTTTGGTTCACTAGGCTACACAATCATGGGGAAGAGTGCCAATCTGACAGTTGTCCAGAAGACAATCATTGACACCCTTCACAAGGAGGGTAAGCCACAAACATTCATTGCCAAAGAAGCTGGCTGTTCACAGAGTGCTGTATCCAAGCATGTTAACAGAAAGTTGAGTGGAAAGAAAAAAGATGCACAACCAACCGAGAGAACCGCAGCCTTATGAGGATTGTCAAGCAAAATCGATTCAAGAATTTGAGTGAACTTCACAAGGAATGGACTGAGGCTGGGGTCAAGGCATCAAGAGCCACCACACACAGACGTGTCAAGGAATTTGGCTACAGTTGTCATATTCCTCTTGTTAAGCCACTCCTGAACCACAGACAACATCAGAGGCGTCTTACCTGGGCTAAGGAGAAAAAGAACTGGACTGTTGCCCAGTGGTCCAAAGTCCTCTTTTCAGATGAGAGCAAGTTTTGTATTTCATTTGGAAACCAAGGTCCTAGAGTCTGGAGGAAGGGTGGAGAAGCTCATAGCCCAAGTTGCTTGAAGTCCAGTGTTAAGTTTCCACAGTCTGTGATGATTTGGGGTGCAATGTCATCTGCTGGTGTTGGTCCATTGTGTTTTTTGAAAACCAACGTCACTGCACCCGTTTACCAAGAAATTTTGGAGCACTTCATGCTTCCTTCTGCTGACCAGCTTTTTGAAGATGCTGATTTCATTTCCCAGCAGGATTTGGCAAATATCAGGATACGGAAAATATGTATGTGTATGAAGATTCTTACATTTTTTTATTCCATAAAAAATAACTTGACATGAGGGGGTGATTAAATAATAACAGAATTTTCATTCTGGGGTGAACTATTTCTTTAGTTAAACTCATCAGTCTGAGATGTCATTGCTTAAGTGCTCATAATTGCAGCTTTCCCCAATTTTGGCCAGCACTTGTTAAGTCGACGTTTATTAGTGCTGATGAGAGCTCATCAAATGCTCCATTTGGGATCCAGCTGTAGTATGATGAGGAAAGATGATTGCATGCTCTCATTTCATTCATCAACATTAGCCACAACACTGATCAGATATAACTCCGTTCACATTATGCACCGGCCATGTATCATTTAATAATGCAGAGGGACTGTCAAATAAATCAGGAGATAATGAAAGGAGGAAGAATATAATTGCTTAATGCTGTTTCCACTTGGGAAGTGTTACATTTCTAAATGACAGTGTGATCATTAATCTGTTTTTCAAAGTCAGTTACACTTAGAATAGACTTTAAATTCTAATATAGACACTGATTGTATTATTGATTATTGGTCTACTCTACCGTATGCCATTAGCTATACGGTCAAAGTTACTTAACCAGTTAATGCAGATAGATTTGTAACCCATTACGTCTTTTTCACTGTTCTCTCGATGACCAGAATCAGATTTAAAATGTTACTAGTACTGTAGTACTACCTTTAGTAGATGCTCTGCAGGAAAGAGCTAATATATTCAGCATATCCGTCCACTTTTTTAGCCGCCTTAACAGTATTTCTGATTAATTTTCTCCATAAGTATTTTTTCCCCATAGGCAGAAATTCTTAAAAAAATACCATAGAAATTCCAACCATAAAAAGTATTTACAAATCAAGAAATGAATAATGATTTGCAATATCACAATCCAGTGGAATGTCAGAAACTTGGGATAAGAAACAGAAAATTTCACACTAGCCTTGAAAACAACTGGGAACGTTTTATTGCTGGACATAGTTGTCAAGAGTGAAAACAATAACTGATGAACTGAAAAAAAAGAACACAAAATCAAAATTACAGCACACAACTCTTGAGCGCTGTGATGATAAAAAAGAATGAATATACATGAGAAAAAAGGAGGATTTGCAACTACTGCCAGCACGAATGCAACAAACCTAGAAGACTGCACGACAACAGCGCAACATGGTGAAAATCATAAATACACAATGAGACGCAGACTAAAAATAATTAATTGTGAGTTTCAGAAATGTGGTGGCAGTATGAATCCAATCAATCATCCACCTTTATTTTATGAGCTCTTGTAACCTTATTTAAATAGAAAACAACAATCAGTTGTAAAATAACATGGAGCATTGATTGTGTGGAGGGTGATTTCTACCAGTTAACGTCTTATGGTTTTCAAACATCTGACTCAACACCATCGAGACAGATTAACATACAATACTCTTCCATAATACTTTATGCAGGTACAGTTGTGTCCAAACGTCTGGGACCGCAGAGGTAAAATTCTTCTATTTTGCATTTATCCATTTTTTAATTTGTTGTCATAAAATAATATCATAGAATTAGTTTGTGTACATAAATGGAAGCAGGGAAATCTGACCCTTTGTCAGATTTGAAGTTAGACAAATTATCTTATCTGATTAGCAACATAGAAACCTTAAATATTTCTTCTTCATTGTTCACAATATTACTTTGTTTATTTGTTTTTTCTCCCCAAATCCCGAAACCCTCTGTTCATTTCCCTGCTTCAGATTTTCAATGTGTGCTCAGACTTTTGGACTTCACTGGATGAACTGCAATGAACAAAGGTGTTTGTTAAATTTGTACAGAAAGAGTGTATGAAAATGTCAAAATCAACTATGTACAATAATGAGCTACAAAGTACTGCATCTATGATGTAATAAAATATGTAAACATATTTATTGTTTGACACAGATGACTGTGACAACATGAAATATACACTTTTGTCTTCCTCAAATAAATTCATATTTCAGCCCTCCTTCAGTCGTCATACTTTGTTCAGTTGATCCATATGCGAATTGTGTGTAGCATATGACTTAAGAAGTTAAAATTAAAGAGGGATTCCTGAATTTATTGTTGAATGTCTCATTTTCAATTTGTAAAAGATGGATGCGTTTCAGTTGAATCTGGCTATACATGTCAGAGCTCAATCAGAATACAAATGTTAATAGTCCTTGACAGATACCGGAAGAGAAAAGGATGAAAAATAAAAGCAGAAACGAAGGAAAAATGAGTATAATACCATTTAAAAAAAAAAAGAAGTAATTTTTCCACAGTAAACCCCTGAAAAAATAAAAAAATAAAAAAGACAAACATACCATTTGTTTAATGGAACACTTCTCCAGCGTGGGTTCGAAAAGTACTGTTTTATGGCAATTTTTCCCACTTTGCATCTCCAAAACAACATCCTCTGGTTCTCCTCTTTGCAAAGATATCAGTACTACATCACACACATCACATGCATGTCCAAAATCATGACCATTACCCATGATCATCGTTGATTTGTACAGGGTTACAATGGACAAGGGCTGCTTTGTTTTTTTTTCCCTTCGTCTTTTTTTACACCAAGGATTTTGTACCTCAGAAAGTCACTCGAGGGATAACAATGTAACAATGAGATATTTTACACTGGCGTTGTCCCACAAACAGACAGAAAGTAAGGTATCAAGGTCCCCAGAGTCCTATTTGCCTTCTCCCTATGCTTACCGTATGCTTAAGTGTGCTTCAAATCACATAACTTGGAAATGGGTTCATTTTGACTCAATGTGTTTGAGTTCTTAAAGGATTTTCTGTGTAAAATCACTGTTTTCTGTTCAAGATTTCTCAGACGTTATTCTGTCTATGTTTTGTCATTCAGATTTTGTTTTATACATAGTATTCCTTGTCCTTGTCTTTGGGTCTCTTGTTGCTGGCACCTTTAGTGCTGGGCTGTTTGTCTTTGACTACTGTGCCATTATTCTGTGCGGAATTGCTGATGTAGTTCCGTGTTTCATCTACCTGATAGGAGCCCTCGTCCCTGTTCCTGTATTTGTACATGGCATAGAGGAGAATGAGGATGCACAGGGCGGCAGCAGCGACGATACCCACCACCATACCCGTAGTGCTGCTGGACTCACGTATTACCTCAGAGGCACCAGGAGGCACTCTCCTGATACCTGGCACGGTGGGCAGAGCACTAGGGATGGTGCGCAACATGGGCTGGGTGATGTACGGCCCCCTCGGTTTGGTGCCGTCCATGTCGAAAGAGGTGGGGAGTGGTAGTAGCACTATGTCCGGTTGGGGTTTGATCTCACGGTTGTTCATTTTCCCAGCTGGGATTTTAGGAGCGGTCTCAGATGTGACGGGTGATGCCGCTGAGCTCCTGAAGTCAGGCAGAGGCGGGATGGCCGTAGTCCTGCCTGCCTCAGAGGCCTTGCTAGGTTTAAAGTCCTTTACTTCCCACTTGGGCGCGAGAGCTTTGTAGCCACCTTCGTAGGTCGACGTGGTCAAGATCTTATCTGTTACCAGGGAGAAGGTGGTGTAAAAATCTTCATCGTCAGTAGGGGGGAGGCTAGAGTCGAAGGCCTCCCCAGAGCCAAACCCCGATATCACCAAGCCATCACCATCATCACCATCATCATCATCATCACAATCATCGCTGCCTTGGTCCGACAAGCAAGGTACCCCCGCTTCGGTGGCAATTGACAGGGACTCTTTGGTGGTCTCAATAATGGTGAGGACGGGGTGAAGGGTCGGGGGAAGGGGGATGAAAGGGGCACGAGTGGAAACAGGGGGGATGTCTATGGGATCCTCAACTAGAACAGGGATAACTAACTCCCCTCCTGGCAAGCAGAAGAAAAAGAAAGGAAATTAGTGTCCATTCAACTTTGGCAGCTTGCAAACAGGCAACTGTACATGACCAATTAAAGCAAAGCAAGAACATCTGGAAAGAAATATGACAAAAAACACTCGTCTAAACCAATGGCCAAAACAAACCAAGAAAGAACTGAAAGAGAGAACAGAAATGTAAAAATGCGAGGTAAATTTATCAAAAGGCTTGAAGGGACATGCAGGGTCTTGAACTTTCTTTTTGGCATACTCTGTTTAACGGACCTCTACGTAGAACACCGATCACTCAAAATTATTGCACCCCTGCAACTCAGAGTGACTGATACAAGCAAACCATGAACATCTTTGTATTGCTACGTGTAGATTTGTGTAGAAAGGTTAAAATACAAAACTGAGCCGATCCGTTTTGAGCAACTGCTCACGTTGTGAATTCATTTAGGAAATGTATGTCTAAGCATCCTGTTGGATCAACGAACATAAGACCAATGAAGAGCGTAATATATGGAACACTCCCAAAAAATACAATTATTGTATTGAGATTTCTAATTTTCTGAGCGGCTTATCAAGACTGTAGAGAAAATCACTTTATTTATTTTCTCTTTCAAGTCTGTCACACTTGAGATGAAAGCCAATTGCCTTTTGACAGTTCTTATAAAATTGCCACAATGGCACAAGTCATATGACAGTTCAACAACACCTGAATGCTTTATGTGAACACTATGTCATACCATATACAATTCGCATCACTCAATTTGACAGAGACAGTTTACTTTTTGAGAACAACAAACACATTGGGCTTCACTGAAACAGACTGAATTTTAGTTAAAATGTAAAACCATTTTAGGTAAACTTGCGTTCAGCTTGATTTACTGAATAAGGCCCAATGTTCTTATGATTGATTTACACAAACATGTTCTGGTTGTTTTTTTCTTGAAGGAGATCTATTATAAATTGAACTTGTTCTTGAAGATTTTTTTTTTTTTTTTTACAAGTCATACATTCAGATGGTGGTTGAATCTGCTCAAACTTACGCCAAGGTGGCTTTGCTGATTACAAACAGAGGGCACTATAAGGCAACACAGGTCTCAAACAATGGACCAAAAGAAATAAAAGGAGAGGAAAGAAAAATAAAAGCAATGCAAACAATGGTTAATGGTTAGAGCAAAGCACTAGAAACATTCACAAACCAAATGCATAGAGTCAAAAAGAGAGTAGTAAAGTACATAAAAAGAAAATTAGTCAAAAAAAAAAGCCCATAAAACAATTCATTAAAAGGTGAAAGCATACCATCAGTTCTGTGACTTACATCAACAAATTGCCCGCAGGATTTTGGCAGGAAGAAAACATTTACAAAAAATTAAGAAAGTTGTGTAAGAATGCTTGGGGATAAGTATGGTTAATCTGTAATGATTTAATTAGGCAATCAATTTATCATCTGATTTTATCATATTTTTTTCTTAAACAAGATGATACAGGGAGGCAACGACACATACATTCACACCATGACATGAAAAATAACTTCACCATTCTGCTCATTTGTTCTTTTTTGATAAATAAATCCTTTTCTCTTCAAAAGAAAACTGTACATTTTCTTTTTTTAACATGATTTTGCTTTGAAGTATCTACAGATACATATTTTCTTTGTTATTTTTTAAAAATGAATTCTTTAAACAATTGAATGACTGTACATACTGTACCATTGCTAAGAGAAGAAGGGGAGGGACAAAAGAGAGAAAGAGGGAGGGAGAGAAATAGAGAGAGAGATAGAGATAAGAGAGAGCGAGAGGGAGCGAGAGAGAGAGAGAGAGAGAGAGAGGGAGAGGAAGGCCTATGAACAGACTAGGTAGGAAATGACATAGATGGAAGTGAACGTGTACGTCAGTTGCCATGTCCATGTAAGGGCGGTACGAAGCGGTCGGGCGGCAATAGAGCTTTGGGCTGTAAGGAAGGGATGGGGATATACAAACAATGAGCATATACATGCCCATCTACCAGATCATATAGCACTCTCAAGACTGACACTCTTACAGACCCTAAGCTGCAACTTCTGTCCCATGCAGTTTCCATTTTTTTTATTTAGATTTCAACAATTTAGAAGTCAGATTTCAAACTGGGAAAAATGTTGATCAATATTTAACTGACTTTGAACATTTGGAGTAGATAGTGGTGAGGAATTAGCATCTTGTTTTTTTTTTTCTTGATAAAAATGATGTGTATGTATATATATATATATATACACGTATATATATACTGTATGGCTGTATATACAGGTATACAGTTCTCAAATGCTTTTAAATATTGACCAAGCTAAACAAGAAAAAAAGAGAGAAGCTAAACAAGAACCAGTATAGAAATAATAATAAAAAATATACCAATGTATTATTATTTGAACTTTGAAGGAGAATTCCATCCAAAAACCATTACCAGAGATATGCTGAGAGCCAAACATCTGGACCACTTCATACTTCATACACTTCATACAAACATCAAACAGACAGCTCACGGTCATTTTTTATTACTACTTAATTTTAGGTTTGTATAAAAACATACACAGAACTGATTTTAAAATCCAAGTGTTTGTTTGTTCCAAAATGTTCCAAATGCCTCTAGTCAGCATACTGATTCGTGAAAACTATGGAAATGCAGCATTTTGGATTGAATTCTCTTTTGAATAATTTTATACAAAAACATTTAGATATACATATACAGTGGATAGATAGATATATACATATATAAATATACACAAACCAGAGGATATATATGTATACATGTATAAACACAAAAGCAATAAAAACACAGAAATAACTGAAAATTCTCTCACACTATCAAGATTAAAATAATCAGAAAGCACATAGTGAAGTCAAACAGAAGAGGGACACTGTACTGTCACCACCTTCGCAACTAATAATACCATTATTAGTTTTCTTTTGTAAATCTCTTGTTAGTAGCTTGACAGCACAAAGCAAGGATGTATTTCAGGAAAAGAGGGAAAATCACTTTTTTTTTTCTCTGCAAGGTGATATCATGCTTTTTAACAAGTTGCATTTAGGGAAAGTAGAAGCACAGCACTGCAAGCTGGGATCAGGAGGGCTGAGAACAGGGTTACAGGATATTGAGAAACTCATAGGCAAAAGGCTGTGGGATATTGTATACACCTGTACCAACATGAATCATACAGGTGAATCAACAAAATCTCAATACAAAGATAAAGACCTATTGATATTATGACCATTTGAGCATAATGTTAATCCTGAATGTATCAAGCCAATTTAGAACAGAAATATTTGGCAGAGATCATTGCATAACCAACAGCCGATCGCTCAACATTAATGACAATAAAGACTGTGGGAATTCCATAAAATGGCATTCGTATAAGACTGAAACCATTTAACAGATATATTGAATAACCATACTCTCTTAAAAATAAAGGTGCTTCAAAAGGTTCTTCAAGCGATGCCATAGAAGAACCATTTTTAGTTCCACAAAGAACCATTTAGTCAAAGGTTCTTTAAAGAACCATCTCTTTCTTACCTTTTTGTAATCTGAAGAACCTTCTTTCGCCACAAAGAACCTTTTGTCAAACAGAAAGGTTCTTCAGATGTTAAAGGTTCTTTATGGAACCATTTAGACAAAAAGGTTCTTCTATGGCATCATGAAGCACCTTTATTTTTAAGAGTGTAATACATTTACATAAATATATTCATGTTTGTATGTATGTAGTGCATGTGAGAGATTAATATCTTGTGTGCCTGACCATGGGTTTTTAATAGTTGATTATCTAGTGAGCTTCGTATAGCAACCAGCAAAAAGGTTGCTTTATCATAGCCTTGTTTACTGATTCGCTGGACCATCCTGAGCTAAATTAATTTATTGACTAAGTGATTTTAAAGGCTGCTTCAGATGATTTCATCAAGATGAAAGCATCTATTAAAACCACAGGCACAAAGACAGCACCACAGTGGATCCCCACGTGACCTGGTAAATACTTTAATCTTATATTAGCACTTCAACAAGCAATGATAATTTTCACAGTGTTTTAGTTCAGCGCAAACATTGTGTGCTTGTTTTAGGGGACTATATTTGTTTTGCAGAGCGGAGATAGGAGGAAATGTTCTTTGGGCTAAGCTCCATTACAAAGCAAACACTTCTACACTGCATTAAGCCTCCAGCTCAGATAGATTGCAGTGTTCTCTGCATTTGCTTACAGGAGTTAATTCTTGTAAACAAATTTGAAGGGCCACCCTCTTTCTCAGCTGTTAACACTCTCAAAAAAACAATGTCTTCTGTGCAGAACTTTCAGAGCAGAGAGAATGTGAAGCGAAATAAATTAACCATAACAGCTGACATTCACAGTAGTGCTCTCTCTCTCCTGTGTCCCCAACCAAATCCGAGCGTCCTCGGTATGGATATCCGTGTCTAAGCTCCGTGACCATTTTGCTTTCGCTGAGTCTTGCCAAACAGTGATGAATGCCGCAGGTGTGTGGGGCTAAACCTGCCTGATCCCCTAAAAGAAGAGTCTGTGTGAGCTGGCCCCTGTGCTTCAGAAAGCTCACTGTAGTCAAATCCTTTTGTGTCAGCCGTGCATTGTGCTCGACCTGCGACTGTTCTTCTCCTTCTCCTTCACCTCAGCCTCTGCTAACTCATCACCAGTGTAAGAACTAAAACATGTGGGAAAGGAGAAGTCCGCATAAGTGCTGAGGAAATAGGGGCAGGGCATCTCCGCACAGAGCTTGGGATACAAGAACTGGCTTTTATGACATATCATCAAAGCATCAGACTGGGCAATCTCTGAGCTCCGCTCTCCTCTGTTACAGTAAATCATGCATGAATTAAAGTAGTATGAGCTCTTTATCATCTGTAAATTAATTATTAAGTTAATAACATTCAACAACTTAAATACATTCAAAACGTAAATACATGAAAAAATTTGTTTTTGTCTCATGTCACACTGCCCCAGCAATAATGGTTGATTGTACCTGAAGTAATTACTTTTAGTAATTTTTTAAGGTGGGGCTTAGCATAGGGTCAATTAGGTTGGCCTTCCCAGTTGTGAGGTTTAGTTGCTGTGGTTTTGTTTTATCTAGTTTGTCTTTCTAAATGTCTCTCCAAGGGATCTTTTGGCTTGGAGTGTCACAGATTGCTGCAACTTCATCATATCATATCTCGATGTGACCCAAGGTGTTAAATTAATATCCTCAGCCAGAGGCATGCGACCACTGTCTGCTGCTCAATTTGTTGTATGGCCATTGAGCTAAATGTGTCAACTAAACCTTAAACTGATCTGAGAGCTTCTTCAAAGTGACAGCCGGCCCAATGGGGCCTGACTACACCAAAATTCAGCCCGTGTCAGTGGTTCAGTGACCCATTCCTCAGGGTCTCATGTTCTCTGTGCACCTCTCCATACTCTTCCTGATTGATGTCTTGCTTTAAAGACTGTTTTTCCATCTTAATCAACTGAGCCGATGACAGCATGATGAAACCTTAGGGATCTTACAACATCAGTTTTACTTTAAAAGACTCTTCCTTCTTGAACTACACTGGTGCCAGCTTTTTCCCCTGTTTGATTCAAACATCAAGTCCTCGGAATTGTGTCAGTTGCCTTTGTGCATGAGTTTGACTGAGTTTATTTTTAGTCTTCAGGGAAAGTTCACTCCTATGATCTATTCAGAACATAAACTTCATTTATTTATTGGTTATCCTAAAGCTGAGGTATGGATGTCAAAAATAGATTTTTTTAAAATATGCGACCCATATTAAACCATGTATAGGTGATTTCTTTCTATACACTGTGGCTGTGCTTCTATCAAAATACATGTAGGCTCATTGGAAAAACGTACCTCTAACTCCAAAAATGCACCTATAAACAATTCATTGCAGTTTCCAGATGAAATGAACACTCTCTACAGTAAAAACAACAACAAAAAAAACCTTTTATTTCACAAATTTGTATTACAGGGACAGATTATCGATTAATAAAGCACAATACTATATTATGACCTCAAAAAACACTTTTACTATTCAATTTATATGTATGGCTTTTCTGTTGTACACTTGTTCGGAAGCTATTCTGGTACAGCATTGCACTTGCAAGAAGCAACAAAATATTGTTTTGCAGAAATGTCACCACAGGCACGTTTTTCCAATGACCCCGGGTTAGCTTCTATGCACTATATTTGTTTAAACTTCATGACAAGCCGGTTGATTTGTAAAACCGATAATTTATTTGTTTATTTCATGTCATGGCAAACTGGCCTGTATTGCCACACTAGAATCACTGTAATATTTTAGGGATTATCTATCTTCAAAATTCCAATGTAATCCCTGTTTTTGGTATGAATGTTTTATTAGCCTTTTTGTGGAATTCCCATTAGTGTGTTTCACAGAAAAAATACAGGAAACAACAACATCAGCAAGACATCAGACAGATAGAGCAATCAACATTTAAAGACAACGACATCGGCACATAGACAGATGATAACAGCACACATGGTCAGCCTGTTAGCAAACTCATGGATGGAGAAGCACAAAAGATGGAGCCAGTAACACCCATGCAAGAGTCATGATGGAGATCTCCCATTGGGGATCAGTTATTTTGCAATCAATGCATGCGTCAAATGCGACTGATCAGTAGCAACAAATAGAAAAACAGATATACTTTGTGGCAATAAAAGTCTTTTTATGCCATCTGCATTCAAACAGACATGTCTATGCAGAAAGGCACAGAAATAAAGATGAGATCAGGGATGGAGGGGTGGGGGGAGTGGTCATTCTTTCACACACAACTTTCTTGAGACAGAATGGGGTTGCCTGCACAAGGCAAAAATAATAAATAAAACATATGATGGCAAGAAAAGATTTTGTTGCCTTTTATTTCCTGTTGTATAGAATGTGGGGATGTTTAATTTTAGCCGAATGGCACAAAACATAAAAATGAGGAAGAGAATTATAAAGTTTTTTTTTTCCAACCACCAAAATTCCATGCGGCACAAGATGAGGCGAAACAAGAGGATCAGCTTTAATCCTGGAAAATGGAATGATGAGGACATCAAAGAAAAAGCCCCCCAAGAGGGTAAAAAAGAGAAAATTCTTTGAAATACAGCAAATAAACCCAAATCACATGAATGGAATGTCAAAGAGTGGATACAGTAGGAAGATGTCAGATTCAACCAAAACAGAACAGAAAAGAAAGGATCATGCAAACTGTCCAAGAAATCTGAACTGAAGGTCAGACTGATGATGTGAATTTCTGTGTCAACATGAAATCATATGAGTGTGGTGGTTTGCGGCTAAGTGTACTCGTTTCGAATGTCAGATGAGAAAAAATGAAAGGTAACACTGGAACTGTCCCTTAGCATACTTCCTGTTGCCATTGAATTTGAGAGGACTTGGGGATGGTATTAGATTTAACACAGTTAGGGAGAATTTATCCAAAGCACAACTGTCTGCCATCAGGTTTCAAAACTATAATGAGCAGAGTGACCTTGTAAATTTGAGAAAAATATGCAGTAAAATTAACAAACAAATAAATAGGGGCCATCTGTAAAGTCAAAGGTAATGACGGACCATATGGATACTAACTTGCAAGGTAAACGGGTATGACACGCTTTAAAAATTCTGAAAACAAAACATTGTTTTTGCTGGAAGTCATTTTTACAACTGAAAATATAAACAATCAAAGCATGATGCCAGCAAACATATTTTTAATTGGTGTATTTAGGAGTGGAAGCTTAAAAAAACTGGTCAACACAGGACATATGTTTTGTGTAACATAGGGTGTGGTTTGAGGTAAATTAAAGGGCCTTAATTAGTGTTCTGATGACATTTAGAAGCAATTAAAGGCCCTTCGGTTAAGAAGTACCAGTACAGGGCAGCAGGAAGACCATCGGACTTTCATAAACCAAACAAGCCTTGCATCCATAATGGCCTTGTAAGCACTAAAATCAACAGCAGGGTTTCATATACTGCGATGGCTGACGGCAGGAGTCTGACTATTACAGCGAATCCCAATCCCATTTCTCTGAAAATGATGTTTTATCTTAACCATACCAATTAAAACGTCATAGTTATACTGCACAAAAATGTTTGTTTAACCTTGAGGAAACAGAGGCTATGTGTGGAGAAAGGTGAGCACAGAAATTCGAAGATATCTGTTCTCTATTAGATGTTTTAACGTAAGGCAAGCCTTCAATGTGAGGAAACAAAGGAACAAACAGGAAGGAGGAGTTGTTTCTGTTGCAGTTAGTCCGCTACACATCAGAAATCTCTATGCTCAAAGCATTATTATTATTTGATTTGTAAACAACTCAAAATGTATCATCTGTCAAAGACGCACACACACACACACACACACACACACACGCACTGCAAGAAATCCATTGTGTATAGGATTGATACATTTTGAAGCATCAGAGTGAACTACATGGAGTTTGATACTAATTTTGTACTTTTGTCATAAAGTTTGGCCCTCTGTTGATCGCTGAGAGGACAAAATTAGTATAAACACACAACCATGTTACTGACGTTCGACCCCATAATCAAGTGTAACTCTGAAACAGCCCAATACTTCCTGGATCATTTTATTCCATCACAATATCATTCGCATGTAAACTGATTCAGAGAAATCAGCCCACAGACTTAAATAGAACAGAATTTGGACACATAAATCACGTCTTAAAATGTATCAATGTCACTGCACAATAGACAACAAAATATCAAAGCAAGTGACATTTATTTAAATAATAATAGATATGCTGTTCAAAATTAAGAAAACCGCATTCTTTTTCTTTCATCTGCTGCAATAATGCAATTTTTTAAAAATATCATAACTTGGAAGCTAATATCTATATATTTTAATATATGCAATATAGCCCTAATTTAAATGTAATTAACTGACAGACGCTTTCTGTAAGTCAGATATTAATGGAACATGTCCACATTTAATGTATTGGATTCAAGTGACTTTTACCTAAAAGTTATTACAAAAAAAAGTAAATCCTCAGAAGTCCTGAGAAAACATTTAGTACCATTTGTTTGCAGATGCCATTTGGTTTGATATTTTTTATTCTAACCCAGTAACATACAGACATTTATTGTGACTTAAGTGTCCAAATACTATTGTACATCAGTGATATACCACTTTATATCACTATAGACATGTGTTTTTACTGCTATAGTTTTTGAGTAAGAAAAATTGCTTTTAGTGACACTTTTGAAGTTACACTGGGTTGTTATGGGGGGTGATGCTTTGAGAGGGAGAATTCAAATAGAAGAGATTGAAAGACCAAGTTTAAGCAAGCACAACCATAACACATCCATCCCACCTGTGTGTCCCCCGTCACACTCCTCCAGATCCTCGTCGTCGCTGGAACATTCCGCAGAGGACACAATGTCATCTGTTGTCTGCTGGTTCAGCCAGAGGCGTGTGGAGACAAAACAAAAAGAACAAAGGTTTAAGTGAAGCCAAATCTACCAATACAAAGAGGATCATGGGTAAAAACAATGAAAACGCATCATTGCAGCAAGCATTATATTTTACTTCTCTCCCTTATTTCTCAAGGGCAGCAGACCGGGGACTGAAATGTCAGGGTTGTTTTTCTATTTGGGTTTATTTATGGTGGCTGACTCTTCATACATCTCCGACCATCTCCAGCTTCTCATGGGCCGTCACAGATCATCACCATCTCTGGACGCTCGCCTTCTGCTCGCTCATCAGCACCTTCCTCTATCCCACAATTCTGATTTATGAACACACTTGTTCCCGCCTTCTCGTTCTCTCACAGCCTGGACACTCTGGCAGTGTTGTATTTCACCCCACACCCCACCCCACAGCCTGTTAATCAGAGTGGATCGGTGCCTCGATAAAATAAACCCTGTCACAAAGCAAGGGTTATGAAATCATAGCACTGATTGAGTTTGCAGTGCTCGGTGAGAGGACGGCCTCTAACTATTATTGAGTTTGACAGGCTAATGAAACAGAATTCAGCTGGAGCCTGGGAAAGCGGCTACGTACTAGGATAGAGAGGATGCTGTCGGGAAAAGTATATTTGTTCTAATCTGCTCATAGTTTGAGTGAGAGACACTCACCACCAAAATACTGAATATGTCTTGGGATGCTGGAATGCTAGTGTTCCTATCTTAATGTGATCTATCCAAGTCCGATTACATTACTACCGATCAATCAAATTTTAGGGTAAGAACTACTGCATAGGTAAATATGTCTGAACTTTGTGTCCTAATCACAGCGCTGGCACCATGTGTGGTTTTCCTCTATGGCAATTAACTCTGGGGACCCACCTCTAAGAATTTTTTAGATGTCACACCAACTAAAACGCCTGATTCATTTTATCAGCATATAAGAACACACTATTCTAGACAGGAGACTGGCTTGACAGGAGTTCAGAATGTGCGGTTCTAAATGCACTGTATATTTTAAATAATTATTTTTAAAGAGCGTGTCTCAAGATGGAGCTGGATGCTGCTGAAAATTATGTTGTAATTAGAAAATCAACAATGAGGTCCCTATTTGACTGGAGTCGTTACTGAATTCTGAATTCAGTACAAAAATCACGTCATGCATAATCATAGCCGATCATTGTTTACATTATCTATAATTAGTGTAACTTCAGAGTTCTCAAGCACATCCACTAGTAAACAGTAATATGTATCAGCCTATATGTTGCGAATAGATTTGTTATATTTTTAAGTTTTTGTGTTTAGAACATCTTAAGAAAAAATAAGAACATTCTTAATAAATGTTTTGGGGAACACAAAATATACTTAACTTTATTCTTAAATTAGAAAATGAGAAGAAAACAGAAGTTAAAAAGATTTTTCCATGAATCCGTCCCCATGATCTGGATTGGGTATTGGATTTGAGAGTTTAGATTAGAAAAACTTTTGGGGGTAGGGGTTAGAATTTAGGGATGGAGGTTGGGAGAGATTATGTGTAAAGCTGAGGGTTAGGATTGGGGTTGAAGTTTAAAAGGTAAACTTTTAGCATTTCTCAGATATCGCTTACGTCACCTTTAATTAGGGCTAGATTTCAAGGTAGGAATTTAAGGTGGCATCATTTGCATCATCTATGAAGGTAGCAAAACTCGAGAGCGTATTGTTTTGAATGTGAGAACTTGTCATATATTAAGTACACATATTTGTACACATATTTGTACTTGTAAATTAAAATTTAAACTCACAGCTCTGATGTGAAAAGCTGAATCTCTCAATTTGCATTTGTACTTGTAAATTAAAATTTAAACTCACAGCGCTGATGTGAAAAGCTGAATCTCTCAATTTGCATGCAGGGACAATAAACAAAACACCTGTGTTTTGAATTCAAAGTTGCAGATTAAAAGTTACGAATGTGTAAAATGACATTGTGACATAAACAAAATGACAGACACAAATGTGTACAACATATTTACTTTTGCAATTTACTTCAGTCTCGCTGTACAACCACAAGTCATCACTTACAACCTCTCAGATCTGGCAGTACAACTTCAAATCCTAGCGCTTTGACTTTTGTTACTCATTTCGCGATATTCCTGTAGCAAAACTCACTAGTGCACTTGTAAATGTATACACGGGAGAGCAGAGCTAGGGCTGGGGTGGGAATGAAGGGGTTGATGCCTAACCAATAAAATTCAAATGACGTCATGCAACAGGGGCAGTCAGTGCCCATTTGGTAGGAGAACCAGCTTTTGGAAAGCAGCTCGACATGGCAGAAGACTGCGGAAGTAATATATTGGTCTGTTTTATAGGAGTCAGTCACTTCTATAGATGTAATTCCTTTTTATAAACATATGGTCTGCATCAACGCCTCCAGATTCTTGTGGGGGAAAAAAGCTTTTTTTGTGATGAATGAACATGAATGAATGAATTAACTGATTTAGTAAGTTATTCAGTGATTCAACATACATATCTTCACTGTACCCTATAGATAACACTTTATAATATTTTTTATTAACATTATAATTACATTTTTGTAGCCTATGCCTCTGTGTTGTCCTCAGTTTCTTGTGTAAATACATTACAAAGGTAGACTTGAGGTAAAAGTCCATGCAAGAACATGAAAAACCAACTGTTGTCTGGTCTTTGACCATGTGATGCACTGTAGACCTGGATTAGTTTGACACACATCAAACTATTATGTTAAAGTCTTTATATGATTAAATGTGCTGGCCTATTCCATATAAGTAAAATTTTAGATTAAAAACAACTACACATGTAAATATTACTGTTAAAGTTAAACTTGAAGGCTTCTGCTGAATACAATAAGCAACATTTTTTAATCAAGTTCAGTATGAATTTTATGCATTGGCCTACATTCTTTGGTGTACTTGCAATAGCCTATTACACTCATATTTACATTTACATTGTCATTTTGCCCACGCTTTTATCCAAAGCGACTTACAATTGGGGAATACATAAATTGATTCTTCTTAAAGAGGCAAACAGACACAGGAAGTGCTTGAAATACCAAGTTTTAGGCATTGTCCAAATAAGTACAAGCTAGAAAAGGGAAGGAATAAATAAAGAGAAAACGTTTTTTTTTTTTTAAATAATCATATTTTTGAATATTATCATATCATATTATTGTTAAGTTACTCCCTTACCTGCATCAGTTTTTATCCTGTTTCATTTTCACTTATGCCTTAACAGCTTTATATTGGCCTTAATGGTCATTAAATAAAGTGGTTCAACATAATACAGCCGCATATATTCTCCGCAATATATAATAAGATAAACATATAAAAGATGTTACATTATTTGTCTGCCAGATAATACTTGAATACCAAGACGAATGTATTGGCTTAATTTACACATGTGTAACTATTAGTTTTGATTATTGTCTCTGTATGCAAATCGAGAGATTCAGCTTTTCACATCAGAGCTGTGAGGGTAAATTTCAACTTACAAGTACAAAAATTAATATGACAATTTCTCACATTCAAAACAACATGTTCTCGAGTTTTGCTGCTATAATACCTCTGTAGATTTCTGTCTAATGTTAGGTTTAGGGTTTGAGCAGTGATTGTTTGTAAATGCTTTGTGCAAAAAGTATCTTAATCAACAGATTCTCAAAATCTGCTTAATTCAGCAATTTTTTGCAGGTTAGCAGAATGGCGAAAGCTAGACCAGCTAGGACTAGCATGGAAATTCATTCTCAAAGGAATTGACATATTGCTGTTATAATGGTGCTGTATAACATGATACTGATCCAGCCAAGTGACAGTTAATTCAGATGTGATCCTGTCACATTACCAGCAGATGTGGCATTGACAAACCTCCTCAAGATCAGAGGGTCCTCACCCCCCGTAGTTCCTTACTGCTGTTCACTACAGTTTCCCAGAGTGTGAAATCACAGCAGAGATTTGACAGATGTGTTCGTGCATGACCAGTCACAGAAGTGGTGTCAGAGGACAGGCTAGTCCAGACCTTAACAGCTCAGAAATAACTTTCTGCCCGCACAGAGCACCATAGAGACAACACTAATGTCTCATCTACTGTTTGTGACCACAGCTAAAATATGAGTCCAATACAAAAGCAATTCCAGACTGCCTAGAGTGAACTACTCAGCTTCAGAACAACAAAGTGTATTCTGTTTAAGTAAAGGGTAGACTTAATAACACATCTTGTCTTAATGTACAAGTCTACAATCTAGCAGAACAAACCTCAGATTACGGCTATCTTTAAAAAACTTGCGCTGCTTTGCTGTCTATTCTCTGTAAGGGCACTATCATAGCTAAAATGGTACATCCTAAGAGACTGATTTAAAACATAGCAACTCTGTACATCATAAAAGTACACATATGAATAGAAATAGTTACTCAAGTAGAAGTAAAAGTAATAATGTCAATAATTACTTTGAGTAAGAGTTAAAAAGTATCCAATGAAAAGACTACTCAAGTAGTAAGTTACCAGTTACTTTGGATCTGATTCAGAACGAGCAATATGATGATGCTGGTGAAGTTCATGAATTGTGTAATTACAATAGGAATGTTTTCTCCCCATTATGACCACACGTGAGAGGTGGTATGTAAAAATCTTTATGTACTTCTTCAAAATGCCATTAAATTAAATTTCAGAAGATAAACTGACACCAAGATGAATGTATTGGCTTAATTTACACATGTGCAATTATTAGTTTTGATTATTGTCCCTGTATGCAAATCGAGAGATTCAGCATTTCACATCAGAGCTGTGAGGGTAAATTTCAACTTACAAGTACGAATATTAATATGACAATTTCTCACATTCAAAAAAACACGCTCTTGAGTTTTGCTGCTATAATACAAAACTAAATATGCAGTAACCAAAATGCATGTAAAGGGAACTGCTTCGTGGACATAAAGCAAACTGAATTCACAGTAGCCTACCTTTGTCACATACACGACAAAGTT